AACTACAGGAGAGCGGGCAGAGACAAGACCAGTCACCCTGCGCAAGGAGAGAGAGCAACAGTGACTGGTCTTTATTACAGGAAGCTCCTGCACAGAGGTAAAGTTTCACACTGGATTACTGCACAGATCTGGAAGAAACATACAAAGCATAAAAAGATTCAAGTAAGAAGATGCAATCTTTGTTCAGCTTTAAACCAATCACAGCTATTACAGACAGCTGGCAATTGATTTATATGTTGTGTTGCCACAATGGAAAGAACTTTGTATAAAAGCAATCATAGGATGAGGAAGTTTGTAGCAGACAAACTTCCTTGTACTCAAAAGGTCAACAATAAAATACAGTATTATTTTTTTTAAGTCGCATGAAGGGAAAGAAGACAAGGAAATAAAAAAACTGAATATGAAAAACATTGATATGCTCTCAGGAAAGTTGTGGTATTTTGGGCTACAGCATATTATATATATATATATATTTAGTTATATTAGTAGCTTGTGCTTCTAGAAATATAGACTTTCCATAAGCTTCCTTCAAGGCATTTTAACAATGTGGACATAACATCTGACTCAGGATTTTAGAAAATAAGTCAGGTATCTCTGTAACAATTAACTGTTTATTACTAAACAGACTTAACCTTCTAAATTCACTGCTATCTGCAAGGTAACTATAGGACATTAGAAAACCACATCTAAGAATCCTGCATTCTCACCTGAGCAGAGCCTATTCCCCATGATTTTGAAATGCTATTTTCAGGCGTATTACAGGCAATTTTACATGTGTATCAAGCTTCAGTCATTTATTTGCTTCACTGTGCAAGGGAAGGGGAGCAGCTCTATAGAAGAGTAAGGATACGTTCACACTAGCCTTGTTAGCAAGCGGCAGACAGGCGTTTGGGAAGCGTTTTTACCGTTTCCCAAACGCCTGGGAAAATTCTGCACATTGCAGCACATGGTGCTAATGGGAGTGTTAGCGTTTTGTTGCGTCACGTCAAAACGGACGCCTCTGTTCGAGTCAGGAGGAGTTGAAGCCTCCTATTCAAGTCTATGGTGCCGCTCCGCAAACGCCCGGCCGTCGTTTGCGGTGCGGTTGCAACGCGGTTGCGGGGCCTTTGCAGAGCGTTAACACCATTCAAACTTCATTGTAGGCGTTTGTGGGGCGTTTTTAATGCTTGGCAAACGCCTAGCAACCGCCGCTAAACCACGCATGCGGCGTTTGCGGAGCCTTAAAACCGCTCCGCAAATGCCAGACTAACGCTTGTCAAATGCTATAGGGGTATTTGGCAAGAGTTAGAAAAACAGTCAAGTGTGAATGAGCCCTTATTCCATCTGCATTCTTACTATAACAATCACGTGATTTAGCACACACAAAAAACACAAGCTGTGCTTGAAGTGCCTTTCATTGTTAGGCTCCATGTACACTGCAGCTGATAAATTCATGTTTAGGAGCTGTTCAGCGTTTTTTTTTTTCAGCAGCCCCTGAACTCTCCCTAATGTTTTCCTATGTGTCCATGTACACATCGTCATTTACAGGCAGTTGAATTTACAGTCGTTTTTTTGAACGCACATGTGAGCAGGGACAATTAGAGAGAATGGGATTCTGCATGTTGAGTGCAGTCAGGCATAGAGAAACAAGAAGAAAAAAGTTCAGTTGTGAATGGGGGCTTAGGGAAGGGGATCCTGTATAGCCATAAAGCGCTTGGGGTAAAGCTGGCCATATACCAGTAGACTTACGTTCGCATATTCATAGAGAAAATCAGAAAAATAGTTTTTTACAGCAGTATTAAATAATAATGCTCTAAAACTTTTACTTCTTACTAACTGATACATGGCTGCTGCCCTTCTCTGCCAATCTCTTCACTGGCTTCCAATAGCCTAAATTCACCAACCTCATCTGCAGATATTGCCAAAATTATCCTCTCTGCGCCTCCCAAGACATCTTGCTCTCTATAGCTCCCTTGTTACCTCCTCCCTCACTCACTCGCCTGCAGGACTTCTCCAGAGCCTGTCCCATCCAATGGAACTCCCCACCACAGTATGTCCGGTCAGGTCCTGCCCTGTCCGCCTTTAGGTGATCCTTAAAAACTAATTTATTCAGGGAAGCCTACTTTACGTCCACCTAAAAACTGTACTTGAGTCACCTCTACCAGATCATCCCCTGCAGCTTCTACCTTTTGTACCACCTCCCCTTTCCTTTAGATCAGGGGACTCCAAAGTTTTCAAACAAAGGGCCAGATTATGGTCTTTAAGACTTTAGGGGGGCAGGTCGTGGCCAATGGGGGGTAGAGAATGTCCTGGGCCCAGCATCAGTGAGAATAAAGATTGCCTCAGGAATAGTAGTCAGTTACACAGTGCTTGTGGTCAGTAGGAGAAATAGTGCCCCATCACTGGTGTTACTGGGAGGAATAATATCCTGCCATTGGTATCAATGGAAGAAATAGTGCCCCATCATTGACATTAGTGGGCGGAATAGTGCCCCATCATTGACATTAGTGAAAGGAGTAGTGCCCCATCATTGATATTAATGTGAGGAGTAGTGCCCCATCATTGACATTAGTGGGCGGAATAGTGCCCCATCATTGACATTAGTGGGCGGAATAGTGCCCCATCATTGACATTAGTGGGCGGAATAGTGCCCCATCATTGACATTAGTGGGCGGAATAGTGTCCCATCATTGACATTAGTGGGTGGAATAGTGCCCCATCATTGACATTAGTGGGTGGAATAGTGCCCCATCATTGACATTAGTGGGGAGTAGTGCCCCATCATTGACATAGTGTATCCCATCATTGACATTAGTGGGTGGAATAGTGTCCCATCATTGACATTAGTGGGTGGAGTAGTGTCCCATCATTGATATTAGTGGGAGGAGTAGGGCCCCATCACTGATATTAGTGGGAGGAGTAGTGTCCCATCATTGACATTAGTGGGTGGAATAGTGTCCCATCATTGACATTAGTGGGTGGAATAGTGCCCCATCATTGACATTAGTGGGTGGAGTAGTGCCCCATCATTGACATTAGTGGGTGGAATAGTGCCCCATCATTGACATTAGTGGGTGGAATAGTGTCCCATCATTGACATTAGTGGGTGGAATAGTGTCCCATCATTGACATTAGTGGGTGGAGTAGTGTCCCATCATTGATATTAGTAGGAGTAGGGCCCCATCACTGATATTAGTGGGAGGAGTAGTGTCCCATCATTGACATTAGTGGGTGGAATAGTGTCCCATCATTGACATTAGTGGGAGGAGTAGTGCCCCATCACTGATATTAGTGGGAGGAGTAGTGCCCCATCATTGATATTAGTGGGAGGAGTAGTGCCCCATCACTGATATTAGTGGGAGGAGTAGTGCCCCATCATTGATATTAGTGGGAGGAGTAGTGCCCCATCATTGATATTAGTGGGAGGAGTAGTGCCCCATCATTGATATTAGTGGGAGGAGTAGTGCCCCATCATTGATATTAGTGGAGGAGTAGTGCCCCATCATTGATAGTAGTGGGAGGAGTAGTGCCCCATCATTGATTTAGTGGGAGGAGTAGTGCCCCATCATTGATTTTAGTGGGATAGTGCCCCATCATTGATTTTAGTGGGGGAGGAGTGCCCCATCATTGATATTAGTGGGAGCAGTAGTGCCCCATCATTGATATTAGTGGGAGCAGTAGTGCCCCATCATTGATATTAGTGGGAGCAGTAGTGCCCCATCATTGATTTTAGTGGGAGCAGTAGTGCCCCATCATTGATATTAGTTATTGTATTAGTGGGAGGAGTAGTGCCCCATCATTGATTTTAGTGGGAGGAGTAGTGCCCCATCATTGATATTAGTGGGAGGAGTAGTGCCCCATCATTGATATTAGTGGGAGGAGTAGTGCCCCATCATTGATATTAGTGGGAGCAATAGTGCCCCATCATTGATATTAGTGGGAGCAATAGTGCCCCATCATTGATATTAGTGGGAGCAATAGTGCCCCATCATTAGTGTCAGTGGCAGGAATTATGCCCCACTGTGTTGGTGTCAGTGAAAGAAATATCAGTAGGAGAAATAGTTCTTCAAGGGACAGATAAAGGCTAGTAAGGGGCGGAGTTTGGAGACCACTGCTTTAGACTGTAAGCCTCATGAGCAGGACCATTCTATTCCTTCTGTATTGAACTGTGTTGTAATTGTACTCTCCGCCTTTATATTCTAAAAGCCTGCACAAATAATAATAATAATAATCATAATACAGACAAATTTTATTAAAAAAACCCAACTTGATCGCCATACCAGTGTTTTGAATCCTACATTTGATTTTTTTTGCTATGCATAACAATAGGTATGGCTGAACCACAATCACAAGTAGAATTCCATTCTTTTGAAAAAAACTTTCCATCCCTCTTCAATTTTCCTCATTCGTTGCAGTCAAAAACAATCACCAATGTGACCCCAATTAATGATTCCAAAAACTATTTCTTTCTAACAAAATTCTACAGGTTTTATGGCTAGTTTCTGCCAGCAGGTGTGAAAATGGGCCCCCAGCAAGCACACTGTGTGTGGGCTTGGTGTGATGATGTTCTACACCAAAAGCACACAGGAGAGGGTGACAACACTATCACAGTAACAGACGCCTGTGATTAGTGTCCTCATAGGGACCACAAAAACTGGCAGGATCACCAGGTAATTACTATAGCTGCAAAAAGGCATTCACTACTGCATTTAAATGCTTCAAAAAAGGAACTATTTATGGAGAACCATTTGTTGTTGTACAAAACGTGCTATGAAATGTTTGCCTCTAGCATTAAAAACACCTAAATTTTTTTCTCTGGTGGTATCAGTTACTGTATGAAACTTCATTTTAACTTAATATATCCTAAGGCAGCTAGATCTATCCAGCTCTAAGTACAGTTTTAGTTAGTGTTTTGCCACTTGAGCTTTAAGTTAAATCTTTTTTTTTTTTTTTTTTTTAAAGAAAAAAAAAAAAAGAAAAAAGACATTGGGTTTGATGAAAACATAATTGCAGCAACCTACCAGTTTGCACGCCATCCGCTTTCTGGTTGCTGTATCTTGTGCCAAGTGGACTTTCCCAAAAGCACCCCTGGGGATAAACTCTGAGCCATGACTCCGGTATGTCATTTTCCATGGAAACAGCAGCACATCAGTGTCTGTCTGGTATCGCCCGTCCTTGATGGTGAGCATCTAAGAGAGAAATATGAAATACTCATTCCAGCCTCTTACCTATTCATCTTTGGTAATATACTGTATGTAACACCTACCGTGCATACTACTCTATTAGAACTGAGGAAGACACTTGATACATAAAAGTATAAAAATACTATCATAGTAACAATTACAATTAAAAATGCATAACTAAAAAAGGACAACCACTGGAGTGATTTTTTTTTTCAATTTGTAATTTTTTTGTAATTTGTCAAGATAAAAGAAATTACCAATACCGCATACATATTGGTACACGAGTAATATGTATAGAGGTATACAAGTCCCACAAGGGGGTTCTTTAAATAAATTTGTTATTTGATAAAACATTCCAATCGGAACTTGCCTAACAGACTGTCAATCAGAACAAAGGCCAAATTTAGAAAGAGCCAATTCAATGACCGAGTCATCTTCAAGTGCAGCTGTGGCCAGATCACGCATACTAAAGTATTGACCTCATCTGAACAATCAGTAAAAATAATTTAAAGCTGAATTCCAGGCATGGATTTTATAGCATAGTTATATTGGCCCAGGTTGGACCATTGTAAGTATGCATACGCTGTACCCAGCTGATCCCTGTGGAGTCTCTGTTACTACAGTAAAAAAATCTCTCTTCTAGGTCCCATGCCAAGTGGCTGCCCGGCTCCATCATGAACCCAGGGGGCTGCTTGCTTGGCACAAGCGCCATTCACTGACCACTTTGCATTTTTTTTAGTGAATTCAAGGCGCTCTCAGATGGGACTAGATGAAGCTCATTACATCACCGCCCCACCCCTACACCTTGTTCAGTCATGGAATGCCTTGCACTCTTGAGATAGATCCTAAGCATTCTTTGAATGGCGCCTATGCTGAGCAAGCAACCTCCTTTGGTTACTTTGCAGCTTTACAGCCACTCAGCATGAGACACGGGTTATAGCAGAGACTACTACAGTGAATTCCAGCTACCACAAGGATCCCAAAGGTATGGAAAATGGAGCCAGACCAATGCATATCCATATCTGAAATTCAGCTTTAAAACATGCTCTCATTCACCTCTGTAGCTGTAGACATTTTACAGTAATTCATCTGCAAACGTCACTACATAGGCAATAAAATCACAGGTTTTTTGGTTATAAACCAACTGAAACTACTGTTATATTCTTTGCGGAGATCCTTGAGCATCTTTGACAATGAATTACTTCACAGTACAAGCAGCTAGAGAAGTCAGGAAGGTCTTCATATCAAGCGCTTTTACTGCTTCTTTAAAGCTTCAGTTTAACCAGTGGCAGTTCGCATATATGTGGCAGCATGGTGGTGGGCTTTAAATATCCATACAGCCAGCACCACTGTTTTGTGCTAAGGATGTGTTGCTACCAACCGCTCATTGTCTCTGTTTACAAATCAGGAGCTGGTAGGACAGACTCTTGATGACATGATCACTGTGACAGCCTATCACAGTGATCACATGATCCATCCGACAGGAGCTCAATCAGTAAAATACATTCTAGGAGCATCAAAAAAAAAAAAAAAAAGTGTTCAATGTCTTGCAGTTCAGTTTCTTTCTAAAGCAGCAACAGCCTTAGTAGAAAGATTTTGCCAGCAGCTGTAGTGTGGAACCCTTACCCTCAACAGGGGTATGTTGGACTTCTGCAGTAAGACCACTGCTTCTCTGCAAAGAGCAATGATCTCACTTTGGATCTGCTGCCAGGGACAGTTTTTTTTACTCAAATCGTATCTGCTTTGTAAAAAAAGAACTGTAGGACTTTTTATTTTGATTCAGCAGATTTAAAAACTGAAGGTGTGACTGAGCTTTAAAGTGATTGTAAAAGCTGAAGGTTTTACCTTGCATGCTATACATGAAGGTAAACAAACCTTTGATACGCAGCCCCGAAGTCCCCCAATACTTTTTTTTCCTCGATCCAGTGGTGTGCACAAGAGCAGCATCTCACCTGGCTCTCTCCCTCCTCATTGGCTCAGAGACAGCAGTAGGAGCTACCACTGCTGTCAATCACAGCCACTGAGGAGGAAGTGGGGCTCAGAAGCAATCAAACATGAGTGCCCCCATAGCAAGAGGTTTGCTATGGGGGCACTCAGCTGGGGAGGGGGGGGACCAAAAGCACCAGCAAAGTACATGAGGTGGATCATGGGCTGTGGTGTGCAAAACCACTGCACAGAGCAGATATGTATGACATGTTTGTTATTTTTTTTAAATGTACCTTTTAATATCACTTTCAGAAAATGGAAATACATTATCGCACATAATCTGGGTACGGGTGCACTTTAAAGCCAATCATTTCTAAAACCTAAGTCAAGTATCAGTCATGTGATTATAAGCAATGTACTAATATTCAACAGGTGCATTGCACATGATCGAGCCATTTCTGGCTAGACCGTTTTTTATAGTTGAAAAGTCAGGTTGAAAAAGACACTTCAACCAATAGAATAGTGTCTACGGCTCTCTTTAAATCCCAACAGATACTTGAAATCTTGAGGGAAAAATCACCACAATGGATGTTTATCAGCCATTTTCTTCATCGCTTCCACCTGAATTTTCAGAATGTGACAATTATTGGATCTTGGTTATAACCTGTACCCAAGGATCAACCCCTCCTTTAACCTCTTTGTACTGGCTCCTCCCAGCCCTTTAAAGGGGTTTTAGATGCGGGGTGCGGTTTGTGATCATGTGACCACCACAATTGGTTGTCACAGTGGTCACATGATCAGAAAGCACCAAGAGGCCATATATATGCGTGCGGCCAGTGGTAAGGAGTTAAAGTGATTTTAAACTTCAGACATGAAATATGAACAAAACATATCCCTCTATAGTGTGTGTACTTGTCTCAATTAGGAGCACTAAGTGTCATTTTTGTCTGTTGATTCATTCCTCTGCTATCTGCATGAATCACTTCTGACAAGTTTTCCTGACACCATGAGAAAAAATGGTGACAGGGGAGGGATCTCAAGCAGATTGACAGCCTCAGCCTCTGTTCCTGTGAGCTGTATGCAGGGGGGGGGTGTATCTCTCCCCTCCAATCAACTCTCACTGAGCTCTGGAGTGTTTCATTTCAGCTATCCGCCCCCGTTTTCTGAACTCTGACAAACTTTATAAGTTTAGGACTTTGAACGGATGTAGAAAAGAGAAGACTACAGACAAACAGGTACAACTTATGTAGGAGGATTGGTTTATCTCTGTGTATCACCTGAGGCCAGTCACTTCATTGGGTATATGTAAGGGTTTACGACCACTTTAAAGATAAAATTTTGGCAGCTAAAGCTGGCATTGAGTACATAGTCCCTTCAGGTATATTGTGGGGCAGAGTTTTCCATTGCAGGCCTTCTGAGAATGTTAATTGCCTGGTGGCCTCAAAGTAACTTCACCTTAAACTTCCTATACGTAGGGTTCAATATGGTTTATGTCAAGAGACTGAGAGGTTAAGTCATAGGGAAGCTAACTGGCTAATTATGATGTAACGCGAGAATAAACACGCTTAGTCGAATTATCGTGTGAGGATCATTAGCATTGACGCATCAAACCGCCAGCAGATGAGGTAAGATGTGCCATATGAAGCAACAAACAAGAATCCTAGTATTAGGTGTGGTTATCTTCTATTTAGCCCACGGCAAGACAGCGATTTCCGATTGTAAACACCGTTCTGCGGGTTGTCACTCTTTCAACAGAAAGCTCAGTGCAACTTCACTACAGTAGGTGTTATTTATCAGTGCAACTATTGGTTCTAAAAGTAGGACAGCTAGGTTAAAATGGAGATTACATCAGTAGGGCTTCAGGGGACGAATGTTTGCACTACTACATTTCTAAGAATTTGAGCTACTGAAGTGTGACAAGTTTTTCTACTAATTGGGGCAAACATGAGCTTCTAATGTGTGGTTTCCAACAGCCCCTGTGACTGCAAAATTAACAAGAACAAGAACACCGATTCACGAGGATATAACTGAATTCAAGAATTTATCCATGCAGTCTATTTAAGTGGCTTGACCACTTCTTGTCCAAAATCTGTCCCCTAAAATTGACACTAAGGGGGAGATTTGCTAAAACTGAAGAGAGCAAAATCTAGAGCAGCTCTGCATAGAAACCAATCAGCTTCCAGGTTTTATTGTCACAGTTTAACCACTTTCCGTCCACCCTATAGCAGTAATACTGCTACAGGGCAGCACGGGTGTGCACAATCACGTATATATACACGTGATTTTGCATTTCCAGGTAGAGGGCGCGCATGTCCTACCCACACCGCTGTTCGTGGCCTCGGCTGTCAATCACGGCTGGTGATTACTCACCGGCACCCAGTGATCAAGGAATATTACCGACGGAGGGAGAGAACTGTAAGTAAACAATACAGTGCTCTCTCTCTTGTCAGTTCCTGCACACTGCTATGCATGGCTTTGCATAGCAGAGCCATGCAAAGCAGTGTGCTTACAGTGAAGCGCACACACACAGCTTACAGTAAAACAGCACACAGTTAATCCTTTGATTGCCCCACATGTTAACCCCTTCTTGCCCAGTGCCATTAGTACAGTGTCAGTGCTTTTCATTAGTCAGTCAGTCAGTTCCCCCCAGTGTCAGAATGCCCCGCCGCAGTACCGCTATAAGTCACTGATCGCCGCCATTACTAGTAAAAATTAAAAAAAAAAAAAAACTTCCAGTGAGTGTGTGTGTAGCCATTTGTAAATGCTATATACTTTCACATAAATCACATAAATTAATTTACATGTATTGGGTTTTTTTCTTTTTAGCAAAGACATGTAGCAGAATACATTTTGGCCCAAATTTATGACGAAATTTGATTTTTTTTACATTTTTTTTACTGGACATGCTTAAAGGGGAAGTTCCACTTTAATGCTTTGTCCCCCGCTCCCCATTAAGGATTGGCACCTTCGGGGAGCGGGTACCCAAATTTGACAGGTACCCGCTCCCACTTCTGCTGCGATCGCCTAGGTGATCGGAAGCGGAAGTTGTCCTCCGCTCCCCGTAGTCTTCTGGGACACATGACAGATCCCAGAAGACTACGGGGGCCATTCACACAGCGTTTCTCGCACATGCGCAGTGGGCACCCGGTCCCGTGAAGCCACAAGCTGTCACAGCCGGGTGCACACACTAAAGACGCCGGCGCAAGGGAGAGAAGACGGCCGGTGTAACAAGCGGTGGTGAGGACACCGCTGGACCAAGGGACAGGTAAGTGGCTGTATTTTAAAAGTCAGCAGCTACAGTTTTTGTAGCTGACATTGTTTTTTTTCAGCTGGAACGTCGCTTTAATAGCAAAAATTAAAAAATAGTTTTTTATTTTTTTGTGCTATAAAAAAGAAAAAAAAAAACAAACGCACAGGCGATTAAATACCACCGAAAGAAAGCTCAATTCGTAGGGGGGAAAAGAAGGAAGAAGGGTAAATCCTCTGGAGGACAAGTGGGTTAATTAAACATCTGAAGTTAGAATCTGATTGGCTACCATGCACAGCTGCACCAGATTCTGAGTGGTCCAGTTAGGCTTGGTACACACCTATGCAGTTTGCTTTTGATCCATTTCTGCAGTGCATTTTGCGTCTGCACACACAAGTTTTTGACACTTTATGTGTTTTGTGTTTTTTAAGCCTGGTTCACACCATAGAATTTTTTTGAGCTTTATACGTTTTGCAGAAAAGCACTATAGTCCATTTAACATGGTTTCGAATGGGGTATTATTATTATTTCAGGTACTTTTATAGCGCCGTCAATTTAGGCAGTGCTTTACATATATATATATACATATTGTACATTCACATCAGTCCCTAACCCTCAAGGGGTGTACAATCTAAGGTCCCGTAAACTTACATTCATACATACACATACTAGGGACAATTTAGACAGGATCCAATGAACCTACCAGCATGTCTTTTGGAGTGTGGGAGAAAACCGGAGTACCCGAGGAAACCCACACAGGCACAGGGAGAACATTGCAAACTCCAGTCAGGTGGAGCCGTGGCTGGGATTTGAACCAGCAACCCTAGTACTGCCAGGCAGAAGTGCTAACCATTTAGCCACTGTGCTGCCTCTACTTAAAGTGGAACTTTAGGCTATACAATGAAAAGGGCGGGGACAGGCAGGACAAAGCATGTCTCGTCTGTATTAAAGCTACCTAACTGGCTGTCTGCCCCTGTACAGTAAGCCTTCGCAAGTGCAGCTCACTGCACAAATTCGGCAGTGCTGAAGCTGGCAGAACTCCCACGCATGCAATGGGGGTGATGTCATCTCGGCCCAGCCAATGACAGCAGCCCGCGACCAAGACACAGAAGCTGGATGCCCGAAGAGGTCATCGGCCGGCAGGGAGTTGCATGGACAGCACATCGCTGGATTCAAGGCGAGTATATTTCCACTTCAAAATATTAAAGGTTGTTTAAGAAAAAAAAAAAACCTTTTAAAAATAAAATAATTTATAATTACTTGCCCCTTACCTCCTGTTAGGCAGTCCTCACTTTTCTGGGTGCTAGGGAGACACCTATGTGCACTTGCTTCCAAGCCAGGCTGCATATGTCCATAGACACACACACACTGCTTGTAAGCTACATGCTGGGGGGAGTGGCAATAAGGGCCAATCAGATGTCCTTTACTCACAGTTTACATATTCTCCCTGTGCCTGCGTGCGTTTCCTCCGGGTACTCTGGTTTCCTCCCACACTCCAAAGACATGCTGGTAGGTGAATTGGCTCCTGTCTAAATTGGCCCTAGTATGTGTATGTATGAATGTAAGCTAGGGACCTTAGATTGTACACCCCTTCAGGGTTAGGGACTGATATGAATTGTACAATATATATGTAAAGCGCTGCGTAAATTCACGGCGCTAAATAAGTACCTGAAATAAATAATAAGTACAAAACTGCATCATTAGCATTTAGTTTACCATCTGCCCAGAGTTCAGCAATAAGAAATAGGTACGTTGTCTTACCTTGTTCAGTATGATTCCACATTCCTGCTGCAAACATTGGTGTAAATGCTTCGCATCTGCCAAACTGATTGGCAAATCTGAGTAACTCTTTAGTAGTTCCATATCTAACAGAAGACAGCAGAGAGGTTTCCTGCCCACTGAGGAATAAAGAGTCTGTTCTCTCCTCGTAGTAAGTCTCTTGACTTGCTTTTTACCGCACTCTTGCCCACGGCACATACTTCCCCATCTCGATAGAGGTTTTCCATTATAGTGACCACATCAGACACATTGAAATAGGGGAGCAACAGCTCCATTTCCTCCTTCTGGTCACTGTTTGTGTTCATAAAATCCATGACGGCACTGCTTTCCAGAGCAATACCTAAAAAAAAATGAATATAATAAAGTAAAATATAATCACATCTGCTTTAATGTGTATTGGGCAGATACCTGGTTTCCTTCAGCTCAAAGATATAGAAACATATCTGGTGCAGTAATGTGCATTGTGAATAGTACAACAAAATGTTATAAAATAATGTCATACAGGGACATACATCATCACAATATCAAACAGCAGTGCTGTGTTAAAGGGGGTTTCTGCTTTCAATTGTATCACTGGATTTGTAGAATGCAATAGCCTGCAATGAAGGAAGGCGAGAGATGGGTACACTGACCAAAAGGGCTGCCATTAGTGGCCTCCACCGGAAATGCCAAATTGCCCGTCTCTGGCTATATTTTCTGACCTGGAACAAGCATGCAGCCAGTAAGGTTTAAATCACAACTCGCCTTTGTATTTGGTATGTGCAATTGTGGAAGAGTTATTTGCCATTTATACAGATGATCACCCATCAGCCGTGTTCTGTAGACTCCATTTGGTCTGTGTTTGTCAACAGAAGTTGCTGAAAACTTTGGGATTGCACAGGCTGATTGTTGTAGGCACACCTGGGGGGGTTTGCCCACTCTGCACTGACACCATTCCCATTCATGGATCGCCTTAATTTTTTAAATGAATGCAACCTGCTCTCCGATTGGATGATGTGAAGAGGATGGGTGGTGATGTCACAATCTCCACCTAATCCAATCAGAAAATTCTTTGTATTCATTGATTAAAAATAAATAAATACAAGGCATTTTATGAATGATGGCATCGTTGAGAGAGCAACCCACGTGGGTCCCATCAAACTTGCTTACTCATCATACACAGGCCCATCATACTCAATAGGGTCTCTTGTCATGAAAGTCTTGCTTGTCTTTTTTTTTTTTGGTTCAATTCTGCTTTAAAGTGGAAAAGAAACGCCTAAGTCTAATATTATTTCTTAAAAAAAATGCCCCCCCTTCCCTCCTCCTACCTAACCTGTATAAATAAAATAAGAAAAATGATGTGTGTGTACCTATATTTTATTCTAGTTGGTCCAGTCACATGATCCAGCAGCACCCCTGTGTACTGAGAGGAGGTAGAACCAACAATGGCTGGGCTGTGGGAGCCTATGGGTGACGTCATGGCTCCTGGAATTCTCAATTGCTGACAAGCACTCCCTGAGCTGGAGCTGTAGGATCAGGTGAGCAGATTAAAAAACAAGTGTACAGGTTAGGCAGGCTAGATAGCAGAATGGGGAGGGAATATTTTAAAGAATAGTTGGACTTAGGCTGCTTTTACACTGCTCCATAGCAAAAAAAACATGTTGAAAACACGTATATATGTTTTTTCTGCAATTTAGATGCGTTTCCAGTGCGTTTTCTGATTGCTTGCACCTGTGAAAAATGGACATGTCACTCAAATGCACTAAAAATGCAAATGCAGTGCGTTTGTGGAGCGATTTCCATTTCAATGGGAGCTGCGTTTTGAATACTGCACCAAAGATGCAGCATGCAGGACTTTTCAAATCACACCGCACCTGCAGCACAGAGATATGAAGAGTCCCATAGAATGCAAAGGGAAGTTTTTTCTTGCAATGTAAAAACGTAGGAAAAACAGTGTGAAAGCATTCTTAGGCTCTTCTTCTACGTTAAAGGGATACTAAACTCAGGACCTGGATTCACTATATCTGGTTTCCTACAGTACACAGAACTTGGAAATGCAAGTATTTTAGTAAATATAAACTGCTAAATACCTTTTCTCATCAGCAGTATATAGTAGGCTTGTGACTTCTATCAGTGTCCAGATGAGCACTGGTTAATGCTTATAGGAGGAGTTTTCATTCTCCTTAAAACTGTCCTATGAGGCTGTGATATAAAGTGCAGCTCTGAGCAAAGAATTAATCAATAAATAATAAAAAAACATACAAAGAGGAACATCCAAGTGCAACGTATATAAAACTTCCAATAATTACATTTATATATGGAATAAAAATTAAAATGGGTGGAACAGTCAAGTACAACATATAAGAGCTCTTAAAAGAGCCAACGGACTGGAAATTCAAGTGAGGTATTAATATCCATATAATAGTAAGGCAAATTAGCCACAATATATAAGTATCAGATAATCGTTGTCAAATGAGTGAGAGAATAGAAATAAACTGGTAAAGTCTAAAAAATATATTAAAATTTATTAGTGTCCTTAGGTGCAGGTTAAACCGTAGGTACAAAGCAAGTGAAGGGGTCCACCACCTCTGACTACTGGTCAGCATGTATGTATATCACATCTGCAGATCCAGAGGCAGCCAGGGATTCTAATGCGAACTGCTCCGCTCCAGAAGGAATGATAGGGCCCTTCCCTAGGGGAAATGGCTCACCACAGGAGCCCAGAAATTGGTATATAGTGTAGTATTTTATTTTAGTATGATTAAACATCCCATAAAAATTATTGGACGTTTTATATACGTTGCACTTGGATGTTCCTCTTTATATGTATTTATTTTATTTATTAATTACTTGCTCAGCGCTGCACTTTATATCACATTTTTCTAGGAGTTGTTACCTTTTCCTTTGTGCAAGCTGCTTCATATTTATTTCCAGCGCTCGCCTATATACATTATTCTGTCTATGAGCTGCATAACCCCTGACCCTCTGTCTGGACAGTGCTGATTGGCCCGTGTTGATCACATGCACCCTCCCAAAGAAAAGAAAAACCTCTCTAGTCATACACACTAAACTGAACATGTGCGGAGTGAGTCTTAGAGTTCTGTACTATCAGCAGATGGATTGGGGACAGTAGAAGGGGAGGATCAAATAGCCTTTTTACACAATGTGGGGATTAACCCCTTAGGTTCCACAGTGAATATAACAAGCATGCTTTACTGCATATACAGACTGATTTTACTGTTGTGGGTTAAGTAACATTTTAAGCTTTGTACCGAGTGAAAAGTGAGAAAAGGTAGGAGATGCAGATGGCGATAGCTTTGTCAATGCACTGAATGGATCGATAAAATCTTTGCTATGGCTCTTATAATGGAAAGCAGTTCATTTTCCTTCTTTCAAAGGAATGATGAGGGTAGCGGACGGATAGAGGGCCTGCGTTCATTTGTCAGAAGTGCTGGGTCTTCTCCTGTGCATTCAGGTAGTGGATTTTTAACCGTGTATATCTACAAAATTAAATGTAGAATCTCTGTCACCATTAAAGGTTAAACTGGTTCTGAAATTCGCTGAAATGCTTTCATGTATTTTGCTTCACCTTCGACACGCCCTTACCTGGAAACAACAGACAATTATTTTATTCCAAGTCAGCCGGGTTTCTTCCTAGCTGAAACAAAGCACAGAGCAGTTGTCATCATTAGCTGCAGCTGGGGCTTTACAGGAACCCGACTGTTCAGTTTGTCACTTTCCTACGCTTGTGACATTGAGGAAGTGGTCACAATTTGCAAAAAATAAGTGGTGCAACCAAAGGCTTTCCTAAAGCACTAACTGAAACCATGCAGAATGGGGCTGGGCAGCTGGAAGGTCTATCATGCTTGGCAGAGAACCCTGGGACTTACAGCTGCTGCAGGGCAACTACGAAGGATGGATGATTAAATACATAGAATCATGGAGGCCTGGTGTGTTTCTACAGAATCCAAATCAGGTATATTAGGCTAGGTCCCCACCATAAAGGTTCAAAGGAGCATGCGTGCATTCCTGCACACCTTTCATTTCAATGGGCTGCCCTATGCGGGAGAAGCAGGCAAAAGAAGTCCTTGATCCTTTTTCAAATTTGCACTGCAGCACAAAAGTGAAGATGCCATTAACAATTAATGGGACCACCATCTGCTAAAGGGCGGCGCATTTCTGAGCATGTTGTGCAATTTTGGTTACATTCCAGACATGCACTTGAGAAGGTGTAGGGGAAAAGGACGTTACTACTCTCATGCTGGCCCAATCTAATCTAGATGATCATGATCATTTTAGGCCTCAAGCACACTGGGAGCAGGTTGTGAACCTAATAAGTTGGGGGGGGGAGGGAATGTTACTACTCTCATGCTGGTCCAATATAACCCAGATGATCATGATCATTTTAGGCCTCAAGCACACTGGGCCAGGTGTGAACCTAAGAAGTTGGGGGGGAATGTTACGAAGTTGGGGGGAAATGTTACTACTCTCATGCTGGCCCAATATAACCCAACCAGATGATCATGTTCATTTTAGGCCTCAAGCACACTGGGACCAGGTTGTGAACTTAAGAAGTTGAAGGTGGGGAGCGGAAGATGCTACTACTCTCATGCTGGTCCAATCTAACCCAGATGATCATAACCTCAAGCACACTGGGACCAGGTTGTGCACCTAAGAAGTGGGGGGGAGGGGGATGATACTACTCTCACGCTGGCCCAATCTAACCCAGATGATCATGATCATTTTAGGCCTCAAGCACACTGGGCCAGGTTGTGAACCTAAGAAGTTGGGGGGGGAGATGTTACTACTCTCATGCTGGCCCAATATAACCCAAACCAGATGACATGATCATTTTAGGCCTCAAGCACACTGGGAGCAGGTTGTGAACCCAAGACGTTGAAGGTGGGGGGGGGGCGGGAGATGTTACTACTCTCATGCTGGCCCAATCTAACCCAGATGATCATTTTAGGCGTCAAGCACACTGGGCCAGGTTGTGAACCTAAGAAGTTGGGGGGAAATGTTACTAATCTGATGCTGGCCCAATATAACCCAGACCAGATGATCATGTTCATTTTAGGCCTCAAGCACACTGGGTGAACCTAAGGTTGTGAACCTAAGAAGTTGAAGGTGGGGGCGGAAGATGCTACTACTCTCATGCTGGTCCAATATAAACCCAGATGATCATGATCATTTTAGGCCTCAAGCACACTGGGACCAGGTTGTGCACCTAAGAAGGTGGGGGAGAGGGTTTGATACTACTCTCATGCTGGCCCAATATAACCCAGACCATGATGACATGATCATTTTAGGCCTCAAGCACACTGGGCAGGTTGTGAACCAAAGACATTGAAGGTAGGGGGGGG